CCCTTATTGGGTAAGTGTGGGGTATTCAGGGTCTTTCCTAAAGATTTGCTGCAGGAGCTGGAGAATAATCCTTTCAATCTTCTAACTGAAGGCCTGAAGCCACCCTCTTAATGCAACCCGTCTTCATCTTCTTCTTCTTTCTGCTTTTCCCTCTTCTTCTCCACAGCGAGTCATCCTCCTCCATCCCACTCTGTTCTCTGCATCTTCTGTCCTCACTCCATCTACCTTCATGTCCTCTCTAACTGCATCCTCTTCTCCCTCCATCTCCTGACATGTTTCCCTCCTCATGGTCTTCGACTAGCACAGTTTCTGCCGGCACCCTGTTTGACAACATCACCGGTGGCGGTCGTTGTCAACCCAGGCCTCGACCGATCACGTATGGTTTCACTTGGATGAACTCGCATTATTGTTTTGGCTAAAGTGTTTTATGTCAGATGCCCTTCCTGACACAACCCTCACCATTTACCCAAGTTTGGGACCAGCACAAGAGACACACTGGCTTGTGCTCCCTAATGGTTGCTTTATCATAATGAAACTCATAATACATAAATTTATTTGCACTTATACAAATTACTTGTATTATCAAAACACAATAAATAGTACAGAAACACTAAATTCATAAATTACATTTCTATAAGCAAAATATATAAAAGGAAACCATAACTGACTTATAACCAAAGTTGTGGCTTCAAAGGTGAATTGACTGTGGCCACCTGTTTGGTAGCTGTATGTGCATTCACTGACTACTTTTTGCCAGTTCTATTAAAATATGTCCTGTGATTCATGGGATATTTTGCTAACAGACACCTGAGCACACAGATAAAGGCAGTAACATCATCACTGACTTTCAGCTGCAAGCGATAATCAGACCATGTGATGAGCGTTTTTAATGACGAGTTCAAAAATGTTATTTTCTAGAAACATCCAAGTTACCTCCTAGAGGAAGAGAAACTTTCACAGTATATCTTTGTGAGGACATGGGATGATCCATTTGAACAAAATGTGCTGCTACTGGATAATTCATGCTCTTGTAACTATCTAATCACAAACAGATGTGTGGTTAGGGTGTGGCCGGTGCGTGACACTAGTGTCTGTTTGCTATTGAACGCTGATATTGAGACAGAGCAATACTGAAACGCTGATCACTGAAAAAAGTGCTATATTTTAAAATACAGCTGAAGTGTGTGACACTTTTAAAAGTTATTTTTTTAAATAATATACTGGTGATCAGAACAAGACAAAAGTCCCCCTTTTTTATCACAAACTGTCATAAGTTTATCATAAGTAACTGTCTAAACTGAAGCCCATATTGTCCAAAAA